GACCTGAGCGGCCTTGGGGATGCAAGGGAGAAAACAAGCCAGATCTGAGGTTTTTCATTAAAAAATAGTGCTCTTTATTATAAATTATGGAAACACTTCCTTTCTGAATATAAATATAAATATGTGCAAAGTTTCATCTGAGTTTTGTTTTGGTTGAATTTTCAAGCATGGTTTTGCTCAGCCCTCGAGGCTGGAGGTGAAGATGGAATCTTTATAAAAGACAGTGATTCACGTTGGCCTGTAAACATCCCTTCAGTTAGAAAAAAAAAAAACAATAAAAAAAAAGCCAGAAAAACCCAACCGCTTCTCCGGGCAGATGCAGAAAAGCACTTGTGTAGACGATGCGTTCCGGGGGATCCTCCCGCCACATTCCCTGTGGGAATCGGTGTCCCCACAGAGCAGCGTGGCCAGGGTTTGCGGGCAGGGCAGAGGTGGGGTGTGACACTCGGGAGTAATGGTCCAGCGGCAGGATCCGAGGTGCTCCTTGCAGACGCGGTCGTGTGGGACTCTCAGCGGTGTCAGGACATGCTGTTTCCCCTCCGGCTTTGCGGCACGTCACCGGGACCGTTATCGCGCAGCGTCACCAAACGATGTGCAGTAACCCAGACCACAGGGCAGGGAGAATATTAAGGCTTAGTCCCCTGGAAAATGGCAACGAGGGGAAAAGGCAGCGACCTCCAAGTCTGGGGCCTGGTGTGAAAGGAGCTTCCACCCACAAGGAGGCAGCAAGAGGTAAAGTACAGTACGGGCAAAAAACACTTTCCCCTTAAAACCGAGGAAAAGTGATCAGGCACTAGCTGGACCCCAGTGCTTTCCATTCTCTGGTGGCAGAAGGGAGGCTCTCACCAGGACACCCCCAGGTGTGGTTCTGCCACATCAGTGGGGATGCGGCTGCCAAGGCACACGTCCCCCCATGACATGGGTGCCGTCCTGGCTGCCCAAGCCCGTGGGGGCTTTGCCAATGGGCTGTCCCTGGCCATGACGGGGAGGCCTTCGCGCTGGGCGCACTGGAACATCCACAATCCAACCGGAGCAGTCTTCTTCCCCAAGGAGAGGGGGTGTCACGCTTCCTCGAGGGGTTCCCCCAGCACCAAGGGCACCAGGCTGTGCTGGCCACAGCCCCGGGCCCACGGCG